TCCTTTGAACACTGCAAGTAGCTTTTATACAAGGTTTAAAGGAATAGCTGCAGCATGAAAGAAGTCTGAATTAGTCCTGTTTCTGTCTTCACACCTTCCCCTCATCATTCAGTTTTAAGTTTCATCTGGATTTTTTGAAACCAATGGGTAAAACATTTAGGACAGGGGCTGAGAAGGGAAGGTTTTATTGGGTCCTATTCAGCACTGAAGTATTTTTGTTTGAAGTTGTTGATCATAGATGCAGTCCGCACAAGGATGTTGCCAACTCTCTCTCAACTGGACTGTTGTCCCTGTAAAGTTATGAACCATAGTGCTAACAGCATGTGCAGCATGAGTCACTGTTCTTGGTCTACACTTCCAAGTCACAAAGGAGAGTAACTTTATTGTGTTATAGATAACCAGTCACAAAATTACACCAGTCAAATACATTACACATGCAGTTCCCTGCAAAGTAACATGGATTATATTTCTAACCTATTTACTGTTTCATTTATTTCTTCTTCTTTAATCACACGCTGATCTTAAGAATTCATGATCCTGTGTTTATGTCTTTTATTTCCTCCAAAGTAAATGGCCATGGATTGTCCATTGTAATCTAGAAACAAAAGGAGATTTATTGACGCTATTGCTAATTTCATCAAACAAGAAAGCTTTATAAATAGTTTCAAATCGCGAGGAATAACACTAAGCCAACAGAATTTCCTGGATGTGCATTTAGACAGTGTTTCTCTCTCTCTCTCTTTCTTTCTTTATATTTCTACAGATAACTAGAAAGCCATCATTATTTGAGTTTCAGGCTTTAGAGAGAGGGATGTGAACATCCCCCCACCTCGAAAGCCAGGTGGTGCTGGGATAGTAGTTGTAGTGTAGTAAACATGGATCACACCTGAAAGGAAAAAGCTTTCTTTTACCTTTGCATTACCCTTTGGTGTCATTTTTACACTCCACGTGAAGGGCCAGGTGATGATTTTTACCAGATAAGTGGTCACATGGCATTCATCATTCCCAGGATCCTGAAAGTGCTCTGATTCACAACCCAATCCAAAACCCTCAGGAAGCCAGATGAAGTGAGTAGCTTGCATCTATGCAAAGATCTGCAAAGCAAAGGTGATCGTCTACATACGCACACTCCTCTCAAAAGGCAATCACAGCTTGACATCCTCTCACTCCACATACGCTGCATGCACGCAAGGCAGCAAGCACAAAGATTGCACTCTAATCCTTCCCAGCTTTGCTGGAGTATAAAACACTCAGTATTTCTTTAAAGGGACTTCAGTGCTAGTTCAGTGTACTATTTCTCATAGTCCCTCTGGCCAACAGACTCAAGCTATTAGCACCATTAACAAAGATTCAAAGTACTGGACAATTGATAATTCAAGCCAAATGTGCTGTTAAATACAACTCAGAACAGATGCGAGATCACAACAGCAGTATTTCACCACTACATTGACAGGCCTAAATGATTGCATATAGCATATAGACAGGCCCCTTTTACAGGGCAGAAATCCCTAGCACCTGAAGTACTATCTGCTATATGAACTCCTTTGAAAATTCTTCTTTTGTATTAGATCAGCAAATGGCCAACCTTCCTGTCCTGTGTATTTCACCTCCCAAATTCAAATTCACTTTTAAAGAGCTTATGAAGCTTAGTGTTTGAGGCATCTCAGAGTGGCACAGAGAATTCCTTTCTATCTCTGGAGTACAACTTACTCTCAGAAAGCATAATTATCTTGGATGCCTCTGCATTTATCCTTGGAGAGCACTTCTTCCCCACCCCCTTCCCTGTGAAGGGCAGCCATGTTCTAAACACTCAAAGAGGTCATTCTAATGCTACTGGGCAAATAAGTGTCTTTCTGTGCTAGGTAAGAGCCAAATTGTCCAACAGTTGTAAAAACCTTCAGGACAAAATACAGCCTGATTTACCATTAGCTGTCTCATTCTCGCTCAATGGTATGCAATGTGCTATATACAAATATCTTTTGAAGATATGGCCGAAACTACAGGGAGAATTTAGATGAGGGGAGTCCAGTTCCTCCAAAAGAAAGAGAGGAGAATTTCATAATAATGCTCAGAACCTGCCTTTGGATACTGCTACTTTTTCTCTGTGAAACAAACCATGGAACGAGCATCTATGCCCTTCTCTCTACTTCACAAAGCATTTGCTTACTGGTCTGATACCCTCGTGCTAAACAGCATTTTTCTGATCTATCTCTGGGTTAGCTACAATACTCTTTGCAAACTGTTACACACTGATGCAGGTTTAGAAAATACTTTCCTTCAAATGCATGATTATTTGCAGATTCTTCAGATATTTAAATGAGATTGATTTGGCTCATGAATCCTATAATAATTTTATAACAACTCTTCTTTAATTTCATCCTCTGCACACAATTTTCTTCTGAACCATTATGAAGTCTGAAAAGGAGCATTTCCTTTCTCATTTTGTACATAGCTGATATTTCAGTGCCAGGAGATATAGGATGGGGAGTATGTTCACATAACACGTAATTTGGCTGCAGAGTTTTTTTTTTTTTTTCTACTGTAAGTCTGGATTCTAAATGTTCCTAAATCTCTGACCACAGCTTTGGATACAGTCAAGGAAGAGACACTGGAGGAAGGAAAAAAAAATAAAAATATTTTTTTTTCTGACCTCTCATGACTGCTTTTCTAAATGTAGTGAAGAGGATACAGTAGGACTAAATTAGCACTAATTTTAAAAATATATCAAGGCTTGAAATATGGGGAGGAAGGGTTTGGAAAGATTTCTTTGGGATCTAATTTCACCACTAACTGTATTTTACAAGGCAAAATTTCTAGTAACTGTAGATGCTCTGGCTAATTCTTCCGGAACACCCAAATGAAATGGGTTAATTTGTGCTGCTTCTCCAGGGTGTTGCTAACTAGATTATGTGAGAGAGGGGGAAGGCAATTGTTTAAGTACTGTCAAATGCATCATTCCTTGTACTGTTACAAAACCAACCTGTATTCAATCATTCAATCTAAGAGAGTTGCTAATAAGTATTAACTCCGCTACCAATTGTTCCACCTCAGCCAAGTTTTCTCTTGCTGTCCCTCATATGGATATTTTTAGCCTTTAAGAAAGATGTGACTATGTGTTCGATTGCTTCTTTGCTGTACATCCCTCTCAATTATCTCAGTGGATATTTTTCTCTCAACCCCCTAGAACAGGTTTATTTCTGGTTAGTAGTTTCCATGTAGTTATGTGGGAGGCTGCACGTTCTTTATCAAAGCAGGCAGCTGTGATTAGTCCATTCAGAAAATGTAAATGCAGCCTTATGTGTTATGTAGCACTGGAGAAAGAGATAGACTGTAAGGAACAGTAAAAGCAGTCAATAACAGAACATGGTGTCAAACCCTGCAGGTAGGCCCAGATGAGCAGAATGATAGCCACATTTTCAATTCCCAGTAGAGCTAAATAAACACACTGAACCTGTGAGCCACTGCCTGGGGGAGCCTAAAGAGCATGTGAGACAGTCCTGTTGAAACAAGTGAAATCCACTGGGCTGAGCAGCCTTGAGTGTTAGGGTTTAGTGTTATAGAAAAACAAATTCCTAGCCACCAGCTCAGGATTGAATGATGTTTTCCTGGATGCTAGAAGTGAGAAACAGTATCACAAAAATCCATTTACTACTTAATATATCACACTTTGCAAATTACTTGTCCAAACTGTCGTCCCTTCCTGCCACACACACTTTTTTTTTTCTCCTTCCCCCAAACACTGTTTAAATATCTCATGCAATTTGGCATTTAGCAAAATAAGATTCTGTCTGTTACAGGCATTCATCTGACCTCCTGCTATCTCTCTCTGTGTGTATTTTACCATCTTTTACATATTTATACCAGAGACTAAAAAAAGAAAAACAGAATGTGATTATCTACAGAATCACATAATTCTCTAACCTTTTTTAAACCTGTTTTCTCTGGTTACCACTTCAAGTAAGAACATCTTTGAGCCTTATCTATATGCTTGGGTGTCTTCAGTCAGTCCACTTTTGCTCAGGCATCTTCATACAGATTTAGAAACCTAACTTTTCAAATCCACAATTAGGAAGATCTTATTCATTTTAAAAGCATTAAAAATGAAAGAAAGCCTTAATATGGAGCATTAAGCAGCAAGAATTACCAAGGTCCCAGGACATGAATCACTTACAGATGATTTAAGAGAATGTCTGGCAACATTGTTCACTGGCCTAAATACACAGTTGTGCAAAGCTGGCATTGTTGTATCACTATATCACTAACTGTGTATCACTATATAGTTCAGTCACAGGAAGCATTGCCCAGGATTCTAATGGCCTCTTAAAAAAGGTTCCCCTC